TATCAGTGCCCGGCCAGCACTGACGTACCTGCCTTTCAATTTTTAAACCTTTTCTGCAGTCACGCATTGAGCTTTTGGCCTTGCTTCCTCTTCAAGACCTCCAGGCCCCAGAGGTTTATAGTCGCTTCCTCTACTTGCTCGACCGTTGAGTTCTGCAGACTTGCGAAACAGCTTTTGTTAAAACATCTTCAAGTATTGCGGACTCTCCACCATACCGTTTCTCACCTTCCTTCCCATCGTGGCATGTGAGTTAACTGAAAACCAATGTCAGAGTGTGATTTTTTGATGTTCAAAGTCATTATGATGTTCGTCGACATTGTGTTTTGCTCTAATATCACGATATTTGTCCAATTTTGTCCACATCTCATTTTGTTGTTGTTGTTTGCAATGTTCACATGCTTTCATGCTCCACAGCTGGCAACAGTGTGCAGTGCAGAGGTTTGAGTGCAATTTAAAGCAAGTTGTTCATGTTGCGTCGAGGTTCTGTGCAGCAAGGGTTTGTAAAGGTTTGTGAAAGGCAATGCTTCATCGAAACAACTATTGACGCATTTATGTTCGATTCTTCGTGTTTGCAACAACTGTTTGTTTGTATTGTTCCCTACTTGTTTTTTTCCGATGTGGCGATGCTGCCAATGTTTTCCATGTTTTCTCCCACTGATAGGAGTGCATGGATCGATGGCTGCCCACATGCACACACGCAACAAATGCACTGTATATTCGCACGTTTTTGGTCGATCCTCCCTATTGAACACCGGAGCGCCGGGGTTAGATTGGGTGCACCTCACACCCATGCCATCAAGAATCACTCTGAAGGTTCCCAGTATAGACAATTCTTACCACTCAAACTTGATAGGCCCACCAGGTTGTAGAGTCTCTGCGAAAGACACCCATTGGGCCAGATGAGACCTTAGGCATCCAAATTACATCAGAGACATGTGATGTATTGCATCCAAAATCTGGATTTGGCTCAGTGATAACCTGTACTGTTGATGGCTTAAAGTTGCCCCATGGAAAGCGTTCAGGGACATGCTTTCGACCGGAGTGTCAATGTTGCCCCAGACAGGGGTATGGATCAGGCCCACCATGGAAAAAATATAAGAAACGACAAAGAGGAAGAACACTAAATAAACACAAGAACGCAAGAGAAAAAACAAGAGGGCACAAAGAAATGGACTCTCTGAAGCTTTGAAGAGCGGGGAGGAACGGGTTCCCAGCCACCTATCCCACCTATCCGACCTTGGTTGATTTTGGACGTTCTTTGACCATCTAAGACTTCCTCCAGCTCCAACAATCAAAACAGCAGTTAGCAGTTGAATTCCTTGTTGATTTGGAACCCCCTCCGTATTGAAAACATATCCAACTCCGCGACGAGCTCGTGTTGCCCGCGGCAGGTGCCGGTTTCGGCCCCTTGCACGCCGCCGGGCTCTTCTCACGTGGGCCACTGACCTCGCATTGGATCCCAGGGCTTACTCGGGGTGGGTCACCCCGTTGGGAGATGCATGGGATGAAGGATGAACTTTGTAATGTAGAATCTTGATGAAGAACTCTCTTCCCATTTTGGATGGTTCAACCGTCAAACCTTTCTATCATGTGATGGTTTATTTTATATTCAACAGTCTACATTAAGTTTCATTTTCCTGTTTGTTGAGGCCTCCATGAGTCCGACGTCTGTCCCATTGAGCATGTGTCAACATGTGACATTTGCACAGCTCTCAAAGCCCAAGGAATCCTGAAGCACTGGACATGGCAAGGCTCTTGATTATGCAGCGAGCGGATGCAACTCGGGACACAAGTATGATTGCCTGAAAGACGTCTAGGATGCATATTCATGACATTCTGGGTTCATACATGGTTTTTGTATGCTTTTGGTACACTAGTGTCCTCGTGTTTCCTTGCAGTGACCAACCTTTGGTCCCGCTGATGTCTCGAATTGGTAACTAATAGTTGGACCATAAAGGTAGACATGATGCCCAGTTTCTAGGCTACTTTGTTTGGGGGTCCAGGTGTTGTAGGTCAACACAATAGACCAACTCAAGGCCTTCTACCGTGCTACCCTAATCCACTGAAACATACTGAAGCCGAAGTCGGACTCCTGATGGTAGCTCTGTACTGTTGCGCCTTCGGGACGCCTTTCTCGACCAGGTGAACGTCCCTGCTCGGCCGACGATGCTTTTTGGGTTGATGCTTCGGCTGCGTTGATGGGTCCTTTGGAGACCTCGGACATGGCATCTGAGGATGATCTGAAGGTGATGAATGGATTTGTTGGTTTTGTTGAGGTCTTAGGCCCCATCAGCATGACCATATGTGGGGTGCCTCGGTTGTATGGTGAATACTCACATTGGGGGTTCGAATGTCAAACAATTGAAATGCGGGGGTCTCAAATTGGTCACCTCATTCCCTCCAAGCTACTCGTTTTGTCACGGCGGAGCTGAGGATTTGTGGTCTTTCCCAAAGCCGTGCCAACCTTTGTGGCTTCGATGCCTGTCGCCTGGCCGTCACAAGCCGGATCAGAGACAAACAGACAGACCGACAGACAGACAGTCAGACAGACAGACAGACACAGACAGAGACAGACAGACAGAGAGACAGAGACAGAGAGACAGAGACAGACAGAGAGACAGACAGAGAGACAGACAGAGAGACAGAGACAGAGACAGACAGACAGACAGACAACATGAGGTAAGAGCAGGGATCTATGTATTGTCTATACAGTATATAATATACACACCCATCAGTTCCATCTGACTGACTCTGCTTGCTCCGGAAATTCGTTCCCCGGATGTCTCCACCTGCACCCCCGTCATCCAATCCCCCACCCAGAAGTCAGTTAACAATGATACCTCTGACTCACTAGCGTTTCACACGTCAAGTTAGCAACACAATTTCTGCAACACCCCAGTTCACCATCCACGGTTGGCATCAGTCCGCCAGTTCGGCCACGCGCGATCTCATCGAGGCCCCGCGCGCACACGCTTCTTCGCTTCACTGCCTGGATTGACGCCTTTGGGCATTGCCGCCTCAGTGGGCTCGGAGACCCTCGTGCCCCTCGGCGTTTGTTTGTGACTGCCTGGGAGAGGGAAAAGAATTAGCAACGAAACTAACTAGAATTAATGCACTGGAATTTGTCTTTTGGGGTGATAAAAATTTGGGGCTTGCGCAAGGTTGGTACATGAGACTCGTTGACATCAATGCAACATCAGTATTGCGAATGTGACGGGAAAATTAAAAACACGATGAAGCTGCGGGCAAACGACCAAACCAAGGCATATAGTATCACGCGGTTGATGTTCAGAACATTATATATTAATATATATTATAATATATATAGATTGATTTGACTCTAGGATCTAATGGTATTTCATAGCCAGTGGATGCCAATGGTCTATATATATATATACCAACGGTAATTACACAACACACAAACATCCAAACCGAAAGATATAGGTCGGTGAGTGAGTGAGTGAGTGAGTGAGTGAGTAAATGAACGTCTCTGATCATGACCTGCGAATGGGCCACATCAACATGTTTTGCTTCAGACGAGAAGTGAATGGGGCTGGCAGAAAGTGCACCGCTTGCCAACTGGATAGTGAGACATGCTGAATTGTGTTGTCTATTTGGTTCACAATCAGCCGAGATGATTCAATGCCATGGTTTAGCTTCTATTTAGTTCCATCATTTTCATGTGTCAGGATTATCAATTGCAACTTACTTCTGTGTACTGGAAATGACCTGGGGGAGGATGATCACAGCTTCGACAGGTTTCGGCTGCATGCTGGTGAACGGGACGAATCCACAGAACTGGAGTCAAGTTTAAAGATGAACAATTCCCCTGGTGTTGAAGAAAAAAAACGAAACAAAAAGACGTGTCAGCACCTCTTTTCAGAAACAGACTCTTGTAAGTGTTTTCTTCTATCCGGAAAGTGAGACTGGAGTGTCTGCCGTTTGACTGTGCTGTGTCGAGGAACCTGCTGCTGGAGCACCGTGCCGAGCCGGAACAACCCAATGGACGGGGAGATGTGCCAAGGTATTTGGCCTTGGCCAATGGGCACAAGCACGTGCACCTTGGATCGAATTTAATGAGCAGTTTGGATCGATTTTAACAGGGGACCTTCCTTCTCTGAAACCCGAAGTAGTCTTGAACCACTGATTCGATTTAGCGCACATAATATTGGGCAGAGGTGGATCTTTTGAACAACTCAAGCATTCAAACTTTAAGTGCCTTCGGGGTGTGTTCATCGTTTGCTACACACTGTTCCACAAGGAGTGTTGAGGAGTGGATTTAGATACACTTCAATCTTTTCGTCCCGGGCCTGGACTGCCAAAGGCTAACAGACCAAGGGGCAACCGCTTGAACATTGCCCCACCCAATATTTCAGAACGTGACCTCATGCTTCGACCCTTATTCCTCAAAGCGCCAGGTATGCCCTTCTGGAAGATACTTTTTCGATCTGACAGATGCAGAACCCGATTGTTTGGAAGGATGACCGCTTGGGACGGAGGTTCGCGTCTTGACACTTGTGGAAAAGGATGGGAAGTCCAAACACATTGAAGCCTCTCAGAGTATATGGCAGAACCCCCAAGATGTCTTTTAGATGGAGGTCCCCCTTTTGGGGATTGATTGCGGCATCTACTTTCTGATACCAACCTGCATGATCAAATTCTGGCTGAAATTTTCTCTTGCGCACCCATCTAGGTCATTTTGTCTGCAGACAGCATCTCTTCCTTGATGGGACAGCAACCAGCAATTGTGGGAGCCAGAATGCGTGGAACTGGAATGACTGAACAACGCTCCGTTGAAAGCCCTTTTTTAAGTGTTCGTTTTTGATGCCACGTTTGAAACCGTAAGACAAGTCTAAGTCTAAGACTGCTTCAAGCCCCTGATGAATTGGACCCTCAGAAATAGATAGGATGTGTGGGGGTATGGAAGCACAAGGTATTCCTTGTTGTACTCCCCCTAGCGCCTTCTTAAGTGCTTGTCGACAAATGGCAACTGCTCGGGGCCAAGATTGACTATAGATCCACATGACCCTTATAGGAGTTTCTTTCTGGCCTCTTCTTTTGGCACTTCCTTGCTTCTTCTGTAGCTTTGGGTCATTCTTTGTCGTCCCCATTTGACCCAACATTCAATCTCAAGGTCTCTCAGAACCTCCGATCAAGTGGGAAGTCCACCCCCGCGCCGTGGGAATTCCCGCAGAGAGGGCTTGTTTTTAAATGGATCTTGGCATTCCGCCGGAGCGGATGAGCCATCCTCATCGAGCAGCTCCAAGTTTTGTCACCCGAAGCTGCTCGACTCCCTTTTTGGAGTCGAACTTCGGACAGAAGGCCAGCCTGTGGCGACTGGACAAGAGTGCTGAGCCCCCAAAGAAGACGACGGCGAACCTCCCAAACTCACCACGTTCTGAGAACTCACAGCTCCAGCAGCCTTACTCCACCCTCACGGATGCGACGTCAGCAAAGAGAGTTCCCTCAGGGAAAGCAACGCCGCGCCGGAAGGACCGCAGCTTTCCCTCGCTCTGGTGAGGGGGAAGTGAAACATGGCCCACCTAAACGAAGTGCTGAGTGGACAAGTTAGAAAAAAGGCTGAGTGAACCATGTTGGAGCATCAAGTGCAAAACAACCAACCAGTTCCTCTCAAAACGAGGGTGACAAGTAGCTTGCTATGCTAAGCTCCCTAAACAATTGCTGAAGAACCGAATATATCCGTTCCGCCGTTCTACGGACACGAGTTTTGTCAACTTGTGAACACTGCATGGTAGCCAACCAAACCCTCCAACCAGTGGAGTTTGAATCCATCTTTGGCCAAAGGATGTTGGAATTGATTTTGTTTTAAGGTGTCTAACAATCATCAAAAGCATATCCAACCCTGCATTTCTCTCTCAAGAAAGACACATGTGAAACTGTAAAATTAATCCAATATTGGCTATCCCACCTAACCAGGCCAGTCCCAATCAGGTCTATGAGGCGGCCGCTGTAAGTTATGTGTGTCAATCTCTGATGTTGTCAATCTCGTGCTTGTCCTGGTGTGTTGCCAAGTAGTATCATGATTTTGGCATGTTTTGGCTAAGTTTGGTGTTGCCATTCTGTGCGTGTGTCATTGTTTGTTGCTTGTTATCAACATTCTTGTCCTTGTGTCCTGTCAACTGTGTTGTCATTATGGATGTCATGTTTGTTGTCTTCTGTCATTGGCGGGACACTGGTGGGACCACTGAACGGGGACACTGGCAGGAACACTGGGTCAGGGTTATGTTTGGTTCTTGTCATTGTGTGTGTGTGTGTTTTGTAGGTGTAATTGTTTCTCATATGTTGTCGTGATGTTTGTGCTCATGTTTGCTGCTGTCATTGTGCGTTGTCAGTGTTATGACTTAATGTGTGTCTGGGTGATGGCTGCACCAGCAGAGGTCACGATCGTTTGGGCTGTTTATCTGAAGTCTAGCTACCCTAATATTGTCATATGGGAACATATCTTGCACACGCCATTTCGATGAGGAATCTCATGATTGGCTGTGGGTATATCATGGCAAGTCTGGCAAAATAGTTTCTTCGTCGGGATCTTCAGCATGTCCAGCTTGAAACACCCCATCCAACAGGAGTCCTCTCTTACCAGAGCAAGAGGTCTGCACGTGGAGTCTGAACTCCAGCGGGTTTGCAAGTCGTTTTAATTGTCGGAAAAGTATGGAAAAGTGGTTCCACTTGTGTCGAGAAGTTTGTTCCATGAACATCCACGACACATTTCTTGGTGATTGCTTTTAACCCACCAAGAAGTTTGTGGAGATGCAGCGAATCCGCCAACGCACATCTGGTGAGTGCACGTGCAATCAACTTGTTGATCATCCGAGAGCCTTGGGAGACTCGAGCCTTCCTAGCCACCAGGATGGCAAAGGCGACTCGAGTCGGTCAACATACTGCGGCCCAAATCCATGTTGCCACGTAGCCCCAACAAAATACTTGTATTAGATCATCCTGAATGATCCTTTATTTTGTTGTTTCAGACAGTGCTTCATGTTTTTCTTCTCTGCACGAGTTACCAAAAAGGTGGATTGTTCATCTTTGCAGAATTTTGCAGAGTTTGAGTAGAACGAAGAGTATGTTTTTCCTCTCAAAGGGATGTTTTCTTCTCTTGTTAATGCTCCCACCTTCGGCGGCCTCGATTTGGATTTGGATCGATGCCCAACGGGACTGGTTGTGGGGCAAGCGCAAGGACTCGGACCAACCTGTTTTGAGTTATACCTTCGGGTTGATCAGCGCCAGGGGCGCTGACGTGTCTGCGCAGGAAGGCCCGCGGCCGGGTGGACCACAGCGGTCGCACCCACCGAAGCCCGCGAGGGCCGAGCGCTGGAGAACTGGCAGGTCTCCCTGCCAGCTTCTTGTTCCTAGTAGTAAGGCCAGGAGCCCCTAGTAGCGTCCTTGGATGCGGCGCTGAATAAGAAGCGCCCGAGTGGAGCTCGGCAGAGATGGCAGAGTTGCCTTGACGGCGAAGACGGCCTCGCAGGGCCGTCGCTCGGAGATCCCTCCGCCGGTGCCACTTTGGGTGATTGATTTGCTTGGATTTGACGATCGGAGGCCATTTCTAGCAGGTTGGATGCTATCGCTATTAGGTTGGAGGCCTCGGGGGAACTTGCCACTTGCTCCATGTCGAAAGCCCAGATGCACATGGTGCGCCTGAAAGGACGTTGGGTATCACACCATCCGCACCATTGCCCCTGCTCATCTCGCCGAGCTACCCAGTTTGCAGCGACACTGCATTTGAGTCTTCCTGCTTGAAGATCCCTAGAGTCACAGTGAACAGTAAACATTTGCGGTTGTTTTCAAGAGTTCTGAGATCGATATCACCACTGTATGTGGTCTACTCATATGATATCACTCTTTCCTCTTCCACGATGGTTTCCATTTTTGGTATCTTTTTGGATGGTTTGGTGGAGGTCCAAGGTGCCCTGTTTGGACCTTGAAGCTCTCATCAAGGGAGGGTTTCAGGTTGAACTTGCAGAAGTCGCCTTTTTTTCTGGCCTCAGATGGTGCTTAAAAAGCAAGACCTATGGGCTTGTGGCACTGCAGTTTCTTTCTTTACTTGTCACTTCTCTACAAAGTTGAGGTTTCCCCAGGTTTCTATACTTGAGCCCTCAGAGTTGCCGCGAGTTGGGTGGGATTGCGAAGAGCTTCCCGCATTGCTTGAGGAGTTGGCATGTTTTGACTGGCCCCCTGTTTGGCGGGGCGAGCTGCGATGAACTCTTCAGGCGATCCACTGGCCGAAGGGATTTAATGGGTGTTCCCCGTTGAGGCTGAAGCCAGTGCTGAAGCTGGCTGAAGGGCTTATCGGGAACCCGTGTTGATAGTCCAGCTCTACTTTGGGGGGCTTAAACATCCCGGTTAGATCTCTCTCTCTCTCTCTACATAACCCTCCCGCACTTTGGAAACAGATCGGGACCCTTCTAAGAGGCTGCAAAAAACAAGAAAAGACCAACTGCAAAGCTTCATGTTCCAAACCAACATGGATGACACCAGGGGATTTCTTGAAGTTCTCTCAGCTCGACCCAATCACGGCGTCAATGCTCAGTATTTGGGGCATCGAGTCGACTCTCCACTTCGTGGACGAAGCTGATGCGTGGCGGAGTGGCGACTTCGGAAAGCCACAGACTTCAAATGCTTTGGTCCTAAGACACTCTTCAGATTCTTTCAGGATAGCGTCCTTGCTCCTAGTAGTAAGGCCAGGAGCCCCGTTCGTAGCGTCCTTGCTCCGTTCGTAGCGATGCCAGGAGCCCCTAATACTCTTTAGATTCTTTCAGGGTATTCCTCTTCAAAAGGCTTCTTACCAGCAACAGCCTCATAGCCGCTGCTTGATTGCCATCCGCACTGGCAAGTCCACAGACACTTCGCTGCAGCGCAGCATCGAAAGAAAAGGACCTGGAGAGGTTGCCTCCATCATTGGCGTGTGCGAGGTGACGTCTCCCGAGTACCAACTGAGTCGAATGGGCTGGCTTATTGAAGACCTCAATAATGCTCATGATGTGGCCTTCTTTCAGTTGCACAAATCATATCATGTCCAGTTTTACATCAAACATGTTGTTTGGTATGGTCTGTGTCAGTGTGGGTCTGTGCATTTGTTCGTAAGTTCATGTCGCAGTTGGCTGGAAACTGCCTAACTTGTATGCGCAAGGGGCGCTCCACGATATGCATGCATTCAATAGAAAGAACTAAGAACCACTGTTGTCAAAGATGACCGTTTTCAGACAAACATTGCAAACTAGACGACGAGTGGCCCGAAAGCATTTTTCATCACGTAGGAAGTCAGAGTGTGAGTTATCTGTTAAGTGTGCAGTGTGAAGTGTGAAGTCGAGTGAGTTGAGGTAGTGTGTGGGTTTCTGTGCGTGTATCTATGTCCGTGTGGAAATGAGTCTGCGTATGTGTGTGTTCAGTGTGAAGTGTTAAGTCGAGTGAGTTGAGGCAGTGTGTGTGGG